TTACAACCATACAAACCATAACATTGTGGTTTTAGCCTTTCCATTCAGCAGTCCTCTCTTGCCAAACGGTGGTCGAAGCCACTACACGTGTCACCGCCCCCTGTCAATTCCGTGAAATCCGCTGCATGTACTATCCACTCCATAACACTGGCCCTTGCTTCAAATGCTAGGTGGCACAGTTTTATTGGTTTTTTTAGTGGAATCGAACGCAGAGGATCTGCTCTGACACGGATGCCACGGCCCAAGCTCTCGTTTTCCCTCCAATCCCTTCCTCTCTCTTTAAGTCACTTTGAGTTGCAGTAGAATCTGTCTTCTTCATTTTTTAAGGTTTCAGAGGAAAAGGGTTGGTTTGATTCAGATAAATTTGGGGTTAAGGAATGATCTTTAGAACTGGGGCATGGGGTTTTATGCTCTTCTTGTTCCCCCCAATCTGTCATCTGCCTCTTCCCCTCGTTGCTTCAAGGTACTCTCTCTTTCAGCTGTTCTTTTTTCCTTCTTTGATCTTCTCTTCTTGTTATTTGGGAGTTTGTTTCTTTATTTAGTTCATTTTTTGGTAGCCTGAATGTGTTCTTTGCTGTATAAAGAATGAACCCCATTTCTTGGTTTCTATTTTGGCTGAGGTTATATGGGAGAAGAATTTAGAATGAGATTTTTTGCTGATTTTTTTTTTAACTGTGAAAAGGAGGTAAAAAAGAATCAATTTTAGGAAGCTGGATATGGTTCTGTGAAGTCAGGGGACTGAAGATTTCAATTTATTTGTTCCTATTTTTGGATTTATAGTGATGGAAAATCTAGGGCTTTGAATTATAAATTGAGTTTTCTATGGGACTTGTTTCTGGGGTCTAGGATTTGATGGATTTTGATGTTCAGAATTCATGTGTTTATAATCAAATTTATTATTAGGATGAAATTGATCAAAAGGAGATGATAACAAACATGTAAGTTTATGGTTATGAATATTGCCTACAGTTATCCTTGTTGGGGCTCAGTTTGAAACGGAAGGCACTACCTTTTGTGACAAGAACAAGAGGAAAAGTTAGCCGCCATTCTATGCTTGCTGTCAACTCAGTCTTAAATAATGGGAAATCGAGCATCAATGACAATGGGGCAACTGAACCTGCAAGGAGTCTTCTTGAGAGATTGTTTGCACAGACACAGAAACTGGAAGCTCAGATGAATGGAGATGTTAAGGTTCTAGGTGATGGTCACCATGGGCTTAACCTTGGGACTCTTGAGTCTGATCTCCAGGCTGCATTGTTAGCCTTGAAGAGAAAGGAAGAAGATTTGGAAGACTTGGGAAAAAGGGTCTTGATGGAGCAAAGTCAGTTAACACATGCAAAGGAGGAGTTGGAACAGCGTGAGAAAGAAATTGCGGCTGCTTGTTCCAAGCATGAAATGCTAGAAGAGGAGCTACAGCGGGTGAATCTTTCCTTTGCTTCTCAAGCCCGGCAGATTGAGGATTTAAAGCTTCAATTGAAAGAACGAGACTGGGAGATTGCTTCTGCACAGTCTGCACTCTCTTTGAAAGAGGAAGAAATGGATAAAATGAGAAATGAATTAGCGAAGAAGAGTGAAGAAGCTGCCAAAATTAGTAATGAACTTAAATCAAAGTCCCAATGCCTGGATGAAGCAAATGAAGTGGTGAAGAGTCAAGAGGTTGAGCTTCAAGGGTTCCAAGAGGCTATTCAATCAAAAGAAGAAGAAATAGAAATTTCATTGAGGCTGAGGAAACTTGAAGAGGAGAAGTTAAAAGTTGCGAGGGAAAATTTGGAGAAACAGACAATGGAGTGGTTATTAGCACGAGAAGAACTGAAGAGACTATCAGAGCAAGTATCGGGACACATGGGAGATGCTAATGAAACTTTGATGGATTTCAGTAGTGTAAAGCAGCTTCTTGCAGATGTGAAGTCTGCGCTGGTTTCTTCTCAGAAATCTCTGGCATCCTCAAGACAGAAAATGGAACAGCAGGAGTTATTGTTAGAAAAGCAGGTGGCAGAACTTGAAGAACAGAAGAGAAGTATTGTGTCATACAAGGAAAGATTGAAGAAGGCCCAGATAGAAGTTGACAGTGAGAGAGTTAAGGTTAGGGTTGCTGAGGCTCGAAACAAGGAGCTTGAACGGGATTTATCTGTGGAGAGGGAACTAATTGAAGAGTTGCAGGAGGAGTTGGAGAAAGAGAGATCTTCACTTCAGCAGTCTATCGAGGATGTCTCTTCTTTGCACAAGAAGTTAGAGCAGAAGAATGCTGAATTCGACCAACTGCAGAACCTCCTTCAAGTTAAAGAAGCAGATCTGGTAGAGGCTAAGCTAGAAATCCAGCATCTGAAATCTGAGCAGGCTTCTCTTCAGCTCCTCTTGGAGGAGAAAGATCTGGAACTGTCTAATGCCAGGAAGGAGTTAGAGCAAGTAAATCAGGAGATTGCTGAGCTAAAGATGCTTTTGAGCAGTAGAGAAGATCAGCTGACAATAGTCACTGCCCTGCTGAAGGAAAAAGCGGAACATGTTCAGAAAGTAGAAGACGAGTTGAATGATACAAAGCACAAATTCTCTGAAGCCCAAACTGTGATGGAACAGATTGTTGAGCTCACAAACAAACTTGCTATCTCAATTAAGGACAATGATATTAATGTGCTGATTCCAGCTGATGACAGGGATCTTGAATTGATGCAAAAGCCATTGGTTAAATCTGCCAACGATTTCAGGTTGCAAATGAAGCAGCTTGAGACTGAACTTGCATTCACCAGAGAAGATTTAAAAGAAAAGGAAATGAAAGTTCTAGCTGCACAACGGGCTCTGACTATTAAAGATGAGGAGCTAAAGACAGTTCTAAGCAGATTGGATGAAAGGGAGAAAGAACTGAAAAAGTTGAAGGAAGAGATGATTGAAGATGCCAATGATCTGCAGAAGCTTTACGCTTTGGCACAAGAAAGAGTTGGGAATAAAAGTATTGGAGACTTGGCTATTGAAAAACTTGAACTTGAGGCAGCTCAACTGGAAGTTGAAGCTGCCAGTAGTGCCCTTCAAAAGCTTGCTGAAATGAGCCGAGAACTTGTGAACAAAGTTGGCATGAACACTGAGCTCGATTCTGATTTCAGTATCTTTCCACAAAATGGTTCTGATCATCATGGGATTACCATGATTGAGGGCAGCGATTGTTTTGCAGAGGTTAAATCAGGATTAACCAGGCTTTCAGCATTGTCAGAGCAGCTAGTGAGAGATGCCGGGATTGTTGTTGCGGATAGCTAGTGTCTGGGTGGGTTTGTATATATTCCTAATGAGATTTGCTTACTTTAGCATACGATTTTGGGGATGGGCTTGTAGAACTGTTGTACTGATGCATCGTATTCACAAATATAAAAGCATGAAACTGATCTTTATATGTTTGCCTAATGAGTGAAATTATTTCGGCGTTTCTTCCCTTCACTGAACTCTTATTACCAAAGTTCAGCTTGAAAAGCAAATCCTTTACAGAAACTGTAGAATAACCTTTACAGAAACCAAATGCTAAAACAATTTTTTCAGGTCCAAACCAGCCAGTTAGCACCCATCATTCGAACACCTTACAATCAACAAATGATTGGGTGCAGTGGAGTAGCTTAAGTACATCAACTTTGAAACTGCTATCCGTTTGAAATAAAATTAGACAACCATTTAGCAGCAGTACTAGTTCCTCCTGTAACTTCAATAGATCCACTTTCTAGGTTAAGGAATTGAAGCATGGAAACTACCGAGCAGCATCTTCCCTGAAAAGATTTGTCATCTGTGGTGGAAGCCAAGCTGTGTTGTCAGCAGACTGGTTGTCCATGTACTGCAGATCACTCTGAGTTGTGTGGCCCTGTCGCTTCTTCAGTTTTGACCTCCCCACTTTCCTTCCAATGAAAATACCCAGCTTCATGGCTGTGAACAGTCCAAACGCAACCAAAAGGGGTCTCACAGTCCAGTGAAAATCCTCAAGATGTTGATACTTTTTCACAATCCCCGGTGAATTCCTAAAAGTAACCATTTCCACCTCGGCTGGATCAGCCAAAAACCTGATGGACTCCTCTCCGAAAATCAATCTGCCAGGGAATTTGACAACAAGGCACCCATTTGGTAGTATCTGGTGAATTCTCCCTGCAGCCCAAGCTCCACCCTTTTTACAAGGCCATTCAAAGCGAGGGCTAAGAATATTACATTTCAGTCTAACAAACTGACCAACATAGTAAGATTCTGCCATTTGAAGCTCTGAAGAATTCCCTTTCCATAAAGTTTCCAGACCTATAAATCCAACAGCAACAGTTCCATCAAGATCTATGGAATGAAGGATGCCAACTGGTGAGTGCCTTTTGTTTTCCTCCTTCAGATGCACCCAATCCCCAGCAGCTAATCCAAGAGTCACCCGCTCTAGCGTTGAAACATGAACTCTTAATGGATCATGGATGCCGTGGACCCTTACCAAAACGAAACCACCACCATTTTTATCTGTATTGGATTCCAAACCAACCACTGTTCCCTCTGGAACATGCATATTTTCAGCTTTGCAGGAGTTAGGAGGCTTTCTTGAATGCACTGTATCACCTACTCGCAATTGATCCTTCATTAGAAACCACTCTGTGTAACCATTTCTGCTACTTGATTTGTCTAAGACTGTTTTGTTCTCCAGATTCATCCAGCGTCCATCATCATGCATCCCATTTTGCAAGCTGAAAATGCAGTTGCAATTTGTCAAATTAAATAAGTAGGTTCATTGTGAGAACATGCATCACAACTCGACAGTGCCATGACCAAAAATTGTTATTCTCATCCAACAAATTAACTGATAAAGAAGATCATATTACAGAAACAAAGGGATTCAGATGTAAATAATTTGATTGCTAGAGAATTTTATGGTTCACACAAACTACAAAAAGTTCAGTCAAAACAAATTTCAATTATTTTTCCATTCTCTTGAAGAGAGATGCAGTAAGCTGAGTAAGTGAGATACATGATCTGTAACTCAAGTTAAGCAATTGACTGGGATCTGAAATAAGATGGACTAAAATGGGTATTGTAAAGTAAATGAAGTAGTTATAAGTTATATCAATATGCCAAATGTAACAAGAAGTCCTACCATCCAACCTAGAAAGGAGTGCTATGTACAATTAAAGCTTTAGCACTATACTAGAAGCCAAGAGAGCTACCTCTTTAAACCATCCAATATGTCTGTCATTAAAGGACGCATTCTGAGGTCATACTCAAAGCAACCAAGGAGAATATTTTCCAATTGAGAAGGAAGGCCACTTGGAATAAATGGCTTTTCCTGCTTACTAACAACCAGATTGCAGATTTCATCAGCTGATTTCCCACGCCAAGGCTGGATTCCAGTGAGCATCTCCACAATACTGCATGCATATCCCCATGAATCAGTCTCAAAGGATATTGGACCTCCCACTTCTGGTTGCAATTGTTCAGGAGCCATGTAGCTTGGAGTTCCAAGTTTGTGTGCAATATCTGAGCTGGACAATGGAATTCCATGGAGTAGAAAAGGAATACCAACATCTCCAAGAACTGCTTTGTCAGTTTCAGTAAGAAGGAAGTTGAATGGTTTAAGATTAAGAACCAGGAACCCTTTTGAGTGCAAGTCCATAATCCCCAGAGCCAAATTGATCCCATACCTGTAAACATTAGCATGCAACTGAAAATTAACTCCCATTTCTCCCTTCATATCTTAAAAATGAATGGTAAAGGAAAATATTTATTAATCACAGAGGCAAATCACCTTAAAACATCAGGCAATGAGAGCTTGCCCCCTTTGAGGCGAGCCATTTTATCACCCACTGATCCATCATATAATTTCATAATGATACATACCTTAAGGACACCAAAAAATCATTTGTCAGCAACCTACAATTAACTAGTCAGCAGAACCACCTAATGCAGCAACAACTCATCAAGAAGCAGTGATATGCTCACCTTTCCACTTATAATTGAAACTCCCTGCAGAGAACAAACACCATCTACACCTTTGCACTTGGAAAATAAATCATCAAACTTATCTAGAAAAGCCCTGATGTAATCCTGATTAATTGGATGTAAAACTTTTACGGCCACTTCATGACACCCATCATAATCTTTGGTTGATCTATGATGAGTTGCTATCCAAACATCGCCAAAGGGCCCTCTCCCAATCCTATGTCTAAGTTTCAATGTTGAAGGGTCAATCCACGGAGTGGTCTCATTAGATGTTGCTACAACAGTCCTAAGGCTGTCGTCATCCTCACCTTCCAAAAGCTCATATTCAAAAGATTCAGTGGTTTTAGCAGGGACAACTCTTCCAGCCATTCCTTTTCCTGAATCAA